GTAGTGGTCGGTCTGAAGGTTGTGCTTGCCCAGAGCAGGGTATCAGGACTGGGTTGTGAATTCAGTGCCAACAGACCTCTGTCTGTTATCCAGGCAATGTGGCTCAGAACCTCCTTCCAACATGTGCCAGGGAAGCATGGAGTTTTTAGCTGGTTCCAGGTCTCTAGATCTTGCCTGCTTCCCTATTTTCCCATCAGCCTCTCTCAGCTTATTCTTCTGGCTGCCCCTTGCTCTCTGGCAGCAAATTAGTCTCCTGCTTAGGCTACATTAAAGAGAGGAATATGCACTGTAATCCAGTTAATTCATCTTTGTGGGGAAAGCTGGAGAGCAAGAAGGAATTCTAGGCAGACTCCATTAGGGCAGGAAAAGAAGAAATAAAGAGAAGTGCCTGGCTGCAGAAAAATGGGTAAATACCATATTTCATGGTATCTTTGAAAAATGTTGAATTCCAAAGCCATAAAATTACCTTCTCCACAGGGTCCTCCTTCAGGTGAATGCAGCTTTTAGGATTATTAGTTTAATCTCTGTAATCCCCAGGAAGACCCTGCTCAATTAGTTACATTCCCTTACATGTCTAAGATTCTTTCTCCAACCACAAAGGGAGGACTTTTTTTTTCAATGGAAGCTGAAATTCTGTGGCAAGGACTGAATTCTTTGGCAAATTCCCTAGCAATGGAATTTTGGAACACACAGAGCCCTGACTACGGTTACACCACGCAATCTTTCATAAGGTCACATTTTCAATTTTGAAATATTTTTCAACCTTAATGTATTTTTTTTTTGTTAATGATAGGGACTTGTAACATTTTGTTTTAAAGAGTATACAGTTTGTCAATGGAGCTTGTAAGAAGCTGTTTGCTCTTTACAGGCTTTTTTAAAGGTTGCTGTATTTTATTACTAAAAATGGTGGAGTCCAGATGTTCTTTATAAGGCTCCTGGAACCAGAGCATTCTGGACTGATGCCTCCCAAAAACAACCTTCTTGAGGAATACCGTTAGTGTGACCCTCTGTTCCTCCTGCCCCTTTTTATTCTTTTTTGCTATTTTTCTATTGAAAGATCAAGAGTTGAAAATCTCACAGTTATATAACAACTTGTGAAACATACCACTTAATTATATGCTACTGGCTGAATGCATCCACTTCAAGAACGAATGTATTAAACAGTAGTTTCAGTCATTTGCTGTCAGATTAATTTAAAGCTAAATGCTTTGTTTTGAGGTGTCCACTGCAAAATTCACGGAGGAAACGTCAAAGAATTTAAGGATGATGAGTTAAGATAATGATGTCAAGATTTGAACAGCAGGATTGTACAGTCTAAAAATTTTTGAAAAATGTAACACTAAATCAGCATTTCCCAAAGCACCCAGCTAAAGTGCACCTTGTGCACTGATTGCCTTCTACGATCAGGTCACAAAGGCCATGGATGCAGGTGTCGCGGTGGATGTAGTCTTTCTGGACTTCAGCAAGGCCTTTGACACCGTCTCTCACCCCATCCTAGTTAAAAAACTAGGCGACTGTGGCATAGATGCCTACACAGTCAGATGGATTGCAGATTGGCTGAGGGGTTGCACTCAGAGGGTGGTGGTGGATGGGTCATA